CCAGCTTTGCATTGGTGGCTCCTGGTGACAGCAGCTCCTCCACATCCAGCACTGCAGGTCCGGCCGTGCCCAGCTCTTGGAGTTAATGGATGTTTTTCTCCACTCAATAGCTCTTTGTTCAGCTCCGGACACGTTTGGAAGCACAGCCTGCAGCTCTGGCAGGGGAGCAGTGTTGCACCTAGCTGCGGCCAGCTGCTGCCGGCAGCTCCCAGCTCAGGCAAGGAGGGGAGCTGCTTGCTTCTAGCTGAAGCCAAGCTTCATACACTCGAGTTAAATAGCTTTTAATTGCTGCTTACATATGCCTCCAACAATTCAACGAGAACGAAAAAGGAAGGCTGTTAGACTTCCAGGCTGCAAGAGTGAAGCTGTAGCTTCCACACACACCTGGGACTGGTGGTGTAATAACATGGCTCCAGAAGTTTAAAATAAAATCAAATTTCAATTAAAGAGATGACTGCAGTGCTGTTCCTAGGATTCCAACACAAATCCGCACCTACTGGGAAGGCACACAGCCCTGCACCTCTACAAAAAACTGAATGCTCTTTTACAAAAGCAACTCAAGCCATCATTCTTCCTCTCTTTTTTTGGCACTGGCTATCAGGGATGAATGACAGCAACAGCTCCTATGCACAGCCAGCAATGTTCACTGGCCTATGGCTGAAACATTTTTTTGTTATTATTTTTAAACAATTGAGAAATCCCTGCTGGGACGTTCAGAAGATGCACACAAACAGCTGCTTAGAAAACGTGTCTGGCTTTTGCAGTTTGCAACGCAGCACTTCTTGTGACAAACAAGACCTCAAGATGTTGGGATCGCTACGGGTTACCTAACAACCCAGCGCCAGCTCCTCGAGACCTGGGCACATCCATTACCTCTCAGGGATGTGTGGAAACCTGCTGCTTCTCTGTTTATGCTGAAAGTTAAAAAAAATGATGTATTGATTTAATAGATTGAGTTGCATCAGTCCTTTCCAGCAGTGCTGACACTGCTGGCTCCTCACTGGGTGGAGGAGAGCACCTGGTGGTGCCGGTGGCTGGGGGCAACACAGGAACTCTCCTCTGCTGAAAGGTGTAAAACCATGAAAACATCAAGCTCATCTTGAGGCTTTCAGCTCCTTTAATTAAAGGGAAAACAGTGTTTAAACAATTGTCACAAACAAGTCCCGAAAATTGATACTAGTCAGAGCAAAATGACAGTGAGAGAATGCTCCTGCTTTACTCCGTACACGAGATTTCAAACACTGTTAGCTTTTCTGGGATTTCTAGCACTGTTACCTTCACGCTGAGAGCCGATTTACTGCCATCTCACAAAGAGTCTAAGCTTGCATTTGCCCATTAAATGCTTTGTAAAAACACACATGCATTGTTTACAAAGCTATTTTCCATCAGTTTGCACAGATATACCCCCAAAAGTTTAAAGACCCACGGATGCCTCAGTACACAACCAAGACCTGCCTAAACAACCATAGCATGGTGGGTCACAGCGTGCACCACGTTCCTCACGTTAGGAGTTCAAAAAGAAAGACGGGAGACCCAGGTTTCCTGGTTTTTCCCCAGCACAGAAGGTCATAAGGGCTCCTTTGCAAGAAAAATGTCCATTGCTCATCAGGTGTAATAAGCACCTGAACTATCAGCGCTTACCTGAAATGTTAACTTCACCTTCATACCTCACATCCCATCCCGTCTTCAGGTTGGTATTTTCATCTCTTATTTGGATGGAAGAGAGAGAGAGCTAATCCAGGACAAGCTCATGCTTTTATATGATTGAGCTGTAGCTAAATATTCCACTTCAAGCACCTGGGAATCAAAGTGGGTCCCATAATTTCTCCCCACCAACTTTCCTACTGCTGAGATAATGCACCATTAAAAATCTTCCTTTGGATAGAAGCACGACCTTTGGAGCTCAGTTTGCTGGTTCAGAGCTGGGAAGCCAGAGCAACTTGTTCCCCAAGCACTCGGAATTGGTGGGTGCTGAAGGAATGCTTCACATGCAGCTCCTTACGCCAAGCTTAAATGGTTCTGGCCAAGCAGTTCTGACCTTTCTGACCATTGCACCTGGACTGGAAGCTGTGCATATTTGGGTATGGTGAACTAAGGCAGTGAATGATGCCACCAAGAGGGATTGAATGCTCGGGAAGCTGAATGTACGAGGACCAGGAACACTGCACAGGAAAACCAGAAACCCATCCCTGCATCTGACTGGGGACAGAACACAAAGTGGTTTGAACATGAGGCTGTGGATGCCCCATCCCTGCAGGCATTCAAGGCCAGGCTGGATGTGGCTCTGGGCAGCTGGTTGGTGACCTGCACACAGCAGGGGGTTGGAACGGGGTGATTATTTGGTCCTTCTCAACCCAGGCCGTTCCGTGATTCTGTGATACAAACAGATGTGTAGGTTGGAGGTAACGGCTACAAAACTGGTGGCCACCAGTAAAGGACCACTGAACACACACAAAACATCTGCAATTTGCAGTGCAGTATAAAGAGAGGAGAGTCATTGGCAGATGGTGTTTATTCCACAGAGTTCAACTATTTCACAGGAGCCCCGGAGTCACTACAGGAGAGACATACCAGTAACTGGAAGTCCTGCAATAACAACACTTTTGGAGAGCAAACCTCCTTTGGAATGAGAACGAAAGCGAAAACATTTCCTCTTCTATATGCTGCCTATTTCTCTCTCTAAAAAAAATGTCCAACTCTTGGAGTGTTTCACTGAAGGCCATACACACAAACCACACGTGCAAAACACCTGGCATGCTTCGTCGATGCCTTCTTAAATAACATCAGGGCTGGCATCTAAATGAAAAGCAACAATCCATACGGTAATTAAGCAGTGAAGCTATGCACTCCACATCCCTGATGGAGCATCAAGCTGAGCACAATGAAATTTTCACCTAAGGCATGGCATGAAGTGTATTGGAAACAGAACTACACGGGCAGTTGTTCCTCTGATATCTATGTAGAACATCTGAATCTGAGAAGCTGTGTTGGAACTAACTACGGCAGGAGTTCTGCTCTCTGGCAATCCAGCTCTACTGCTACCCTGCTGAAAATGCCATCTTCCATAGGTAAACAGGCTACATAAGGAAATGGGAAATAATTCAGAAAAATGCAAAGAAAATCACCTATTCAAACCTTGTCTTTATTAAAAAAAAAAGCACGTGGTATTTAGGTAATATAATTTATCATGAAATGAACAGAGAATTACATCATTTCACAGATGCCAGAACTAGGCAGAAGTGACAGGATTTGACTGAGGTCAGCCAGCAGAGTGAAACAGCCCTGCACAGCCGCTCTGAAAAGCACTGCTCCAAAGCAAGCCTGCCCACTGAATCTATTAGGAAAAGGGAAAAGACTTCAGGCTTATGTCAGACGCGCATCAGAAGGAGGCACCCCTGCACCCAGCTCCTGGACAACACCACAGCATTCAGATGACAGTAACAGCTTGCCTTGGAAAGCACAGCTTGGACAGAGCTCACCGGAACCTTGTAATGACTTCTGCAAGAAAAGAGCTCCAAAACAATAGCCTTGGGCTATTCCAAAAGGTAAAGCAGGAAAATAGCAAAGCTGCAGCAAACCTTGCGCTCGCTACGCTTCCGCTCCCTCCCTGCGAGCGTGGCTGCAGAGCTATTCCCAGGAACAGGCTGTGCTCTTGCAAGTGTTTTGCAAGCAGGCAGGGTACTAAATTGGAATGAGCTCCTGTTATTTGCTGTGCTCTGGTCTCAAAATCCAGAGTTGAAGCACCAACAGGTCCACCGCTGTGCACTTGCCTCTTAAAAGGCAAGCCTGAGATAAATGCAATTTTGTTTTCGATAAACAGAAGAAAAAGAGGATCCAAGGAGGGTTCTAAAGGAAGGGAAAAGAATGAAGAAAGAGGAAAAATGATACAGATGTTCAGCAGCCACCACAAACACAAGGAATCAAGAGGTCAACCTGCAAACTGTTCTCAAGGTAACAAGCCCTCAGAGCCAATCCTCTCTGCAGATCCCTTTTTAAGGCAGTTCTAGGAAGTGAAGGAAAAACAGAGGTATGCACATCTTATCTGTAAGGCTACTTGATTTGTGACTGCGTTGAATAGAACTGGCAGACCAGAAGAAATTCTGGATTAACCCAACCTCGGAGCGACCTGAAAGCAGCTGAAGTGCAACAAGAGAAGCGCAGCTGCCAGAACGAAGGAATGCAGAGTTCTGCCCCAAAAGCAAAAGGAGCAGCAGCCAGGATTCCCCAAACCCACAGTGCCCGGAGCCCAAGTCCTCGGGCTCACCAGTGGTATGCAGACAGAGAGCTGCTATCACTGCCTGCAGCTGCCAGAACACTTGCAGTGCTGCAGGAAGTATGGCCAACATATTCCGAGACACCAGCCAGGAATTAGGATACTCCCAAACAAACAGATGAAAGTTCACTCAGAAATAACAAAAAATGACAACTCTAACAAAAACTATTTCAACGAATTACACAATAGGCTCAAAGCAAATTAAGGAATGAATTACTGTATCCCACCTTTAGACTACCGTATCTGTAAAGGTAACGTTGCGGATCGTTCTACTTCATTTCCTTAGCAGAAAAGCCCTCAGAAAATAACATATGAGATAAGCTAGGTACTGATGACCAGAAAATAAACTGTTGGCTATTAAAATTCCTCTTGAACTATCCCCCAACTCAGTGAAGCACATAGAAAAAAAAATACCTACATGCTACAATGCCACAAATTCAGTCTGCAACGTACAAAATAAAGGTTACTGGCAATTCATGAAAGGGTATGAAGGGCGAAAACAAACGCACTAATGAACTTGCCGAAGCCATTTGCTGTGATTCTTTTCCCTTTCCTGAATCATGTAGTATTTACTCTCCAAGCTGAAAAGCAACCTCCCGTTACTGCTCATCCTGTTGTAACTCACTTTATTATCAGCGTTTACCAGGCAGCCTCGTAATAAAACCGCAACTACTTGGGTTTTTTACACCATGAGAAACTTTCCACACTGCTATCATTTCCATCTTACCTCAAGCACTGGTCCAGCTCCAAGAATAATCTGCTCGACTCCGCTAGCAAATCCTTTCTGGCTGAGGGCAGTGAGGTGATGAATCAGAAAGTTTGTGCTCTGCGTCTTCCCCGAGCCGCTCTCCCCTGAAATCACGATGCACTGGTTCTTCCTGCGCTGAAGCATGGCGTGGTAGGCCACATCTGCCACGGCGTAAATGTGGGGCTCCAGCTTGCCCAGCTGATGGTTATCGTACATTTTGACATACTTAGGGTTATAAATAGGTAGAAACTTGAACGGGTTGATAACTATGAGGATGCTGCCTACGTAGGTGTAGATTTTCTCTTGCTTAAAGCGGTTCCGGAGGTTCTCCAGGAGCGTTTTCTCGTTCAAGTCAGGCAGGCCGCACAAGTCATCGTAGTCCTTCTGCTGTGGCTGGGGCAGGAAGCCCCGCTCCACCATCCTGCGGCGCTCCTCCGTCACCCGCAGCCAGGACTGCAGGCTGCCATAGTGGATGGAACCATCGAGGTTCTTCTCCCGCAGGAGGAAGCGGTAATCCTCGCCGCTCGTCCGGTTCTCGAGAGCCATGCGAGGCCACAGCATCATGCGCTGGACCGGGCAGTCGGTGGGGTTGAGGATCCATTCCTCCCCACCGAACTCCTTCACTTCCGCGAGGACGTAGCATTTTGTTTTCTCGAGCTGGAGTTTATTGATGAGCGCATCGATCACCTCGGCAGCAGTGGAGGTTTTCCGGGCGGTGATGGGGCAATAGATGGTCCCTTCGGCGATGCTCCCGGGGTAGATGTGCAAGGTGTACTCGCTGTCTTCAAAGCGTCGTCTGCCTCCAACATCATTCACACTCATATTGGATCCTTTCCCATCAGTACTTGCACTGCATAGTTGGGACGGGCCTGGACGTTGTCAGGTCATCATGCTATCAACACTGAAAACGGAGAAAAAGAAAGAGGTTAAGCTCAAATGCTGCCCACTTCAGGCATATAAACAGGAAGGGGAACAACTGCTTACAAGGGTGGATAGCGATAGGACAAGAGGGAACAGTCTTAAGCTGACACAGGGGAGGTTTAGGTTGGATGTTAAGAAGAGGTTTTTCACACAGAGGGTGGTAAGGCACTGGAACAGGCTGCCCAAGGAGGCTGTGATGCCCCATCCCTGCAGGCATTCAAGGCCAGGCTGGATGTGGCTCTGGGCAGCCTGGGCTGCTGGTTGGTGACCTGCACACAGCAGGGGGTTGGAACGGGATGAGCACTGTGCTCCTTTGCAACCCAGGCCATGCTGTGATTCTATGATTCAGGCTCACCACTACTCAGACAGAGCCACCCACATCATCTCAACCTTTTGCAAGTTTTTCCCCGGCCCTGAGGCATCAAAGATGCAAGCAGCCCCCTGGTATTCCACGCATTCTCATTTTTACTAAGAATAAAATCAACACAAAAAGCATTCCTTTGGGAACAACACACCAGACAGCACGCTGAACCAGCAGTGACACAGTGCTCACGCCAAAAGGTGCTTCAGCTTCATCAAATATCACTACCAAATAGCTCACATGAGAGTTAGTTAGTGCCTCTATTTCTATGTTTGCAAGTTTTATGCAAACCTAAGGCAAGCATCATCCAAACATGACCTTGGAAAACTTTGGGAAACATAAACTATGGATTTTCTAGAGCCTCTAAGAGAACTCATCCTACCTTAGATTTAAAATGCCAGCTTAAGCAGCTTTAGTGAGCCACCTTAAGGGCACGTCCCAGCCGAGCAGAAAACGCTTTCCCTGTCAATTCAAAGGCCCTTCTGACAAGCAGTTAAAATGACTCTTGAAACAATGATTTATTTGCCTAGTCACAAGTTCAAAAACCACCCGTGACTCAGCCCTCATGAGCTTCAAGTTGTCTCAGACTGGAAATAGATTTAATTCCTTCACCAGTTCAAGAATCGAAACTGCTGATAAGCTTTGCTGCAGCACTAACAGAAGGAGGATCTTGCACTGGTTTCTTTTACCCACTCCTACCACTGCTCTGAAATCCAACCTGTGACACAAATCACTGAATTACTGCGTACTGTTAGGGTGCCTGACACTCTCAAATCTCAGCTGCTTTGCATTAAGACAAAACGACCACTCATCTCTCCTGGGAACCTCTTCCCTGCCCCAGAGCCATAACCCCACAGCAGTGGATATAACCTTTTTCTCCCAACCCATCAGGGCTCTAACAGTGGCACTTCTGCATCCACCAAGTCCACCTTACGTGTTCACACTTACAGCAGGTATGACACATCACAGCCCACTCACTCATGCAGTTTTATTTCTCTCATACTGCCTAAAACCCACAAAACTCAAACCCCTGGTGCTGAAACATCAAATATAGGAAACTTCTCGGACTTCATCCCCAAGAAGACGAGACACCCCACCGTCAGCCCCAAATAAATGCCATTCCAGAGCCAGAGGTCCTCAGCAAGTCACAACGAGCTCAAAATTCCCCTCAAAGATCTTCATGTAATTCCACTATCGAGACAGAAGAGAGGTGAAATTTCATATAGATGAAGGTTTGCGTGATGTCCAGGCTCATGCTGAGCTTTTCATTGAGCATCAAGCTCAGTGTGGTTAAAAGAAGTGTCAGAACCCACGCTGGGTCTGGGGTGCACCTGAGCTCCAGGTATTTGGAATTGGGTATTGGAACTCTTTTCAAACACTCCCCCTGTCCTTGTGTCCCAACACTGCCATCAGTACTCAGAACCGCACCGCTGGAGACTGGGATATTTAATTCCTTGCACACATTTCCAATATCCTCAAATGAAAAGCATTATTTTACGTTCTACCATTGCATTGTTTCTCACTCCCATATTTCATGAAGTATATTATCCCTAGCCACACGCTATGCGAAGCAGAGAAATTAATATGTCACAGTGAAATACATCAGGCATGGCTACACGGCGCATTGCTTGGTAGCAGGACATATATTATGCACTGGGAAGCACTCCAGCTGCTCTCCTATAGGTTTAGGATAGGCTCAGATGCAGCAGGGATGATGTCAGCTCTGCGCTGCGTTATACTTTCTTTGTCCAGCTCTGAGCCTCCGGTATCAGCTTCTCTTTAAGGAGGAAAAAACACTTAAGCTCAGTAATTCCTCATCGAGACTTTCCTTCAAAGCTTAACACGAGACGGTCAGCTATTTTTATTCAAGTTATCTGAGCCTATCAAAGGCTGCTGATTCACGTGAGAGCTGCAAACAATGCTTTAAGTCAATCACTGAGCAAAACCTCCTTCCACGGTGCCTCCTCCTTGCCCTGCACACTCACAAGCTCGGTAAAGCAGCCTGCCCCTCTGCCCAGGGTTGTTTTTTTCTTCCCCGTAGGAGCTGAATCCCCATGGCCTCAGCAGCACAGCAAACACCACCTGCACCCAAACAGCTCTGAGCCTGCCAGAAGGCAGAGCCAAGCGCCAGCCTCCCGCAGCACCCAACGCCCCGCGCTTCCATCCGGCACAACGAAATTTGGCGAGGTGAGAAAGTGGAGAGGTGTTAATTTGAGCCCCATAAATCCCCACAAGGCTCACTACGTGATTTACTCTTAATGACATTAAACAGGTCTTGGAGCATTACGCCGGGTCACAGAAATGTTAATGAAGGTAATTGCCTGCGGCCACCGATGGACAGGAGCCTGGCTCTGCTCAGCATCTGACACAGCTCACATGGGCAGTGAGTTTTACAACATACAAAGCATGATCTCCCAAGTGTGAGGCTGCAAACTAAGCCTCGTACCCTCCTGCATCACAAAGCACATTCATATTTACAGATACTTAGGAGCAGAGGATCCCACGTAAAAGTCACAACGATAACATGCTGACCAGCTGGCTGCAAGAAAACACGTCTTGTGATGGTCAGCTAGGCCTCTGAGATGTAAGTGGTGGTGTACATCTACACTGCAGGCAATCACAACGTGGTTAAAGTTTAAGGCAGTTAAACGCTGGTAGCAAACATGCTTTCTTAAAGAAAATATATATGCAGTAGTATATTGGGAGTGCTTTTGTATTAGGGAGTGCATTCTGAAGCAAGTTTTATACTCTAAGCAACATCACATGAGTGAGAATGGCTGCGTTACCTTTGGGAAAGTCCAAAAAAGTAGGGAGAAAGGAGTCTGGAGCCTCTGTGATTATGTATCACCACAAAGAGCACAAGTGCAGGCTTTCAGTTGCGCTATTTCCTGCTTTTCTGCTCAGAAAGACATATCTCAGTATTTTCCTTTTCAGGGACAATGTAAGCAGCACGTGGCAACAAGCCAAAATAAGCTGTCCACTGGAAGCATCAGTACCCGCTATAAATAATCCGAGACAGCTAAAGCTTGAAATGATGGCCAGGGCTTGCCAAATACTGGAGGACTGGAAAGAAAAGAGAGCAGTGTCAGAGCTGAGGCTGCTAGAGGGGCAGCTCTGGAAGCAAAGTTCATTTACAGTAACAGCGAGGAGTAACTACAAAAATAGAGAAACTTGCTTCCCTTTCCTAATCCTCAGACAACTGCAAAGCCTCGGCTGCTCGAGCCGCATCCCTGCACCAGGATGCACACCGTGTGCAGCAGAAACTCCTCAAGCAGATAACTTAATCTGAGACTGAACACTGAAACGTGCTGCACTGCTTAATCTGAACTTACTGGCATATGAGCTCTCTGCATTTCTCTTCGGCAGCAACAGAAGGGAGAGAGCAACCCTCAACAGTGAGCTGGTACCAGACTGGCACATCTGTCACAGCTGATGCCATCAAAACTATGGCATCCAGGAAAGGCAGAAAAGCCCGCCGTGATGCCAAATGTCTCCTTGCACAGGGAAGAGAAAGACAAGGGTATTTTCCTTAATTTATGAACAAAAAGATCTATAAAAACATGCAATGTTTCAGTCATCCAGCGCGCAGTTCCACAAACCAGTTCATTCAGACATCAGTACAATGCTAATCCTCCTCTTTTAACAGCCTTTCTGTTCTTTGCTTATCCTCTTCTATCATGAGAAGAGGAAGGTTTTCCTCTTCTCATGATAGAAAAATGAATATTGTAGCTTAATCATCTACCTCGGAACAGCCCAAAGAACCTCAGGTTGTAGGCACATGGGCATTGCCGCCTGAAAGTACCACGTCTGTACCTGGGTATTGGTGGGGGAGGACAGCAGGAGGACAGGGGGCTGCTTTGCAGTAGAATTGCTGCAGGGTTTCCATAAGAGAGCTTCATCCAAAAGAATAGTTTAATTCTTTTGGGGTTTGCAATTGGGAAAAGTGAGATTTCTGAGTGTTTCAGTGCTGGCTTGCAATCGCAGCTCAAATGGAGTTCAGAAGGAAGAACAAACATGGACAGCAAAGAAATCAGCACTCCAGGATTCTCTGTACACAGAGAAAAGCCCTCATGTACAAATTCCAGAGGAGCATACCTGGACTGACAGATGTCAAGCAGGAACCAACGCAACACAACGCCAGAGACACCAAACAAAAGTGCTGACCCTTCACTCCCCACCCCATAGCAAACCCAAACAATTCTGTAAATAACCCCTCGATCCCTGCAACCCAGGGCAGACTCATAAACACCACAAGCTGTTTATGTGGCTGATATTGTCATAACAAGAGAAGAAACCATGCTCGGCCAGCACTAAGCACCATCCCTGGTAAGGGAGGAGAGGAAGGCAGTGAAAGTATCTCTGCAAGCAGAGGTCAGCCCCACCACCACGCCTTGGGGGTCAGGACTACACAGAGCTCCTCAGTAAGATGCCCAGAATATGAAAGAAGCAGCTATGGATACAGAGCTAAAACCATGTCAACAGTTCCCAAAGACTTGTGGTTGCCCTTACTGAGTGCAACCTGACATAGGATGAGAACCCTTCATAAGCTGTCCCTAAGCTCGCCAGCTTTTCCACTGACTTGAAAATTGAGAGATGTCATCACAGCCTTGTTTTCCCTT